AGTCCCTCCTCCCTTCCTACAAGCCCTATCTCCCAGCTCAATGAACAAATCAGCCATAACTGCCAGGAGTAGGGCGCCCCCAGTGTTTGCCTATTGGCGCTTTTGTCTCGGGATCTACTCACACCTCCCTCCTTCCTCTTCAACCAAGCCACCCTGGGGTGCAAAATGCCTATCTTTGCTCTCTGCCTTCAGGGTTCAGGGGGCTCCAGGCCCCGACAGCATTCTTCCTTTTATACCCAAGGCTGGGTACCTCTGGCCAAGCTTACTTGTTTCTTTCTCTCTTTTTTTTATTTAATTGAGGAGTAGGGGTGGGACGGGGAGTGTTACCCAGACTTGAACTCTTGGGCTCAAGTGATTCTCCTGCCTCAGCTTCCCAACATGCTAGGACTACAAGGCATGAGCTGCTATGTCCACCTCCAGCTTACTCATTTCTTACTGAACGCGCTACAGGCCCCTTTCTTGGTTCACACTGAATCTAGCAGGGGTCCTCAAACTTTTTAAACAGGGGGCCAGTTCACTGTCCCTCAGATCATTGGAGGGGGCCTGTGGGCCCCAGGACAAGTCAGCGGCTAAGCAGGACAGGCAGCGGGTGGCAAAAACACCAGGCGGGCCAATAAATGTCTTAGGCAGGCTGCATGTGGCCCCCGGGCCGTAGTTTGAGGACACCTGATAAGGGTTCCAGATCCCCTTCCTTCCTCTTCATGTGGCCAGCGTGTGGGCTCTTGCCTTGGTCACTAGCAACTTCCTCCCTCACACTTACTGGTCCACACTGCCACCCTGCGCCCTCCTAACACAAACCGTCCCTGGCTCTCCAGCCCCTCCTCCACCTGTGGCCTCCGCGCAGGTGTGTTTTCCAGTGTTGAGGAAATGACAGGCAGTACAAAGTGCACCTGAAGAGTTCATTCACTACAAATCCCAGGCAGGTGAAGAACTCCTCTCCCCTGGCTCTGGCTTTACAAAAACCATGGCTGCCTCATCTGTAAAATGGGGGCCTGGATTCGGGGCTCACCTGGAGATTTTTATTTTATTTTTGAGACAGAGTCTCACCTTGTTGCCCTTGGTAGAGTGCTGTGGCATCACAGCTGACAGCAACC